ACACCGTTTTGGTAAAGCCTATTCATGTTGTCTACAGACTTTAGGTCACAGAGTGAAAATACACCGAGATCTCGCACGAAAGGAACGGGACGCAACGGTTAACCGGCCACAGTGTAGTTTCGACTGTGCTCACACTTACCCAGCCTCATGAATTGCGACCTGACTGGGTTGATCAGAAGGTTGATAGCTGCAGACCACATGGATAGGCAGTCGAGATCCTGCTGAAGCAGGTCAGTCATTGGGTGCGTGGATTAGTCTCCAGACCTTCAAATCATTTGCAAACAACGCACAAGGCGAACGGCGAAGCTGAAGCACATCTTTTATATGGACCAGGAACGAAGTGACCAAAGTACAGTTCCTTGGGGCACGTCATTGTTAGGGAGATATCAGTCAGTTAAATGATTGTCCAGCTGCACTCTCCACTTTCGAACAACAAGGAAATTCCTGATCCATCGGTGCAGCGAGCCGCTAACACCGCACACCCTCAGCCTGTGGAGGGGCACCACAAGTTTCACCTTGTCAAAAGGCTTACTGAACTCGATGTACATAACGCCGACCGACTTGCTGTGGTCCAGCACTTGCAACCCTTCGTGCCTCGTCAACAGTAGGTTGGTGATACATGAGTGACCCTTCACAAAACCATGCTATGCGAGTGTCAAGAGGCGTTCCCACTCGAGAAGTTACATAAGACCCTTCTTTACGATTTTCTTAAGCATTTGCCAAAAGAGCGATGAGGCAGATCGGCCAGTAGTTGCTTACTCTGCTTGGGTCAACACCTCAGTATTGGCTTTACGACTGAGCATTTCTAGTCGCCAGGCAACGAGCCAGTGGATAGTGACCTATTGAACAGTTCAATCACAGAAGGTGAGATAATGGTCAATAGAGACTTGAGGATCAGTGGATGGATTCCATCTGGCCTGGCAGGTATCGTCACGCCAAGATTTGCCAGCAGCTTGCGTACATCTTCAATGTCAAAATCCAGGCTGTCTAGTTAAGCGGGGGCGGTATTAGTCGAACTCGGTACTGGCACCTGGTCATTAGCAAACACGGAAGCGAAGTGCGCTGCCAATGCGGACGCACGATTTGTGCTCGAGGTTTGGGCTGTCCATCTGAGCTCTTCAACATTGGCACACTACCTGCAGGCCTCAGATGCCGCTGCACGTGGGCGAAGATCCTCCTAGGAATAGTTTTTGCTGCGGCTACAAGTTTCTTTTCGAAGTTTCGGCGCTTTCGTGTTTTCGCGTTGTTTCAGAGATTTGGTTGTCCATTGTATGCCTCGTAATCTTCGTCAGAGTCAGACAACACGAATTTGTTCCCTAGTCTGCGTCGTCATCGAGCCAGTTTGCCGTACTCCTTGTCAAACAAATGTGGCTTGACTGACCCAACTTTCCGATACATGGGGGTACAAATCAGGCGCACAACGATTTTACTCCCTTTTTAATGATAGTCCAACAGGTTTCAACAACCAGTTCATCTGACTCGCTGCTCGAGTGAGGTCATTAAAGTCCGTCTTTCAATAGTTGAAGTCTGGCTCCAGCGGAGGAGTGTACGACAGCGACAGTTCCAAATTGGCTATGATCATCCAGTGATAACTCGCTCCCAGAGGCTCCAAGACCTGAATGTCATGCACATATTGTTCACAGTTAGCCAAAAGAAAGTCTGAGCACGTCGCGCGCACAGTTAAGCGCGTCGGCTAGTCGATGTTCTGTGTGGCCCAGGTTTCAAATATCATCTCCGCGTACTTCATCTCGACTTCACAATGGCCGGGGAGAAGTTCAGCCTCAAGTCACTGTATTCGAGGTAGGTTGAAATCACCGATGAGTAAGCACAGCGGACGACTCATGTGGTTGCAGTCACGAGGCAAACTGTCGAAGCAGCGGTTGAATGGACTGCGATAAACCACGCGCACGAGCATCTCGCAGCGTCTGAGGTGAATCGAACACCATTACTGCTCACATAGATCATCAGCATTTCGGTACGTCCTCACCAGTCATCCACACAAGAAAGACCTTATGTAAAGGAGCGCGCCATCGCGATCCTTTGAAGGTCTATCACAGCGGAAGCAAGCGTAGCCGCTCACGTCTACTTCTTGAGCCCTTATGTCGAGGTTTAACTATGTTTCAGAAAGGCTTAGTACGTCTGGCCGCTGTTACAAAGTAGCACAGCAGACTGCAAACGTTAGTAAATGTTACACGCAAGCCACGGAAGGAATTGCCGGGCGCGCCTGAAGCATCAGAAACGAGTTGATATGGATTAGCGGAGGAATCCGGTTGACTACCCGAAAATTTACAATTCGTCGCTTTAGTTCAATCATCGCAAACATGAGTTTCTCTCTATCTGTTGGATCTTTAAACCTTTCAGCCTACTAAGGCTGGATAATATCAAACTGGTGCTTGCCTCTTCAACAAAAGTCACTCATTTGTTGACTTTTGCCCTCGGTTCCCTTTCGGAGACAAGAGAGTTTTCGCTTTCAGCCCAAGTTTATCTACGTCGAGCAGCTTATCAATCTGTCACAGAGGCGAAACGTCTGCAAATCGATCCCCGGGCGAAAAGCTATGAACACAACCAGTTTCGAAAGGTGTGCAAGGTGACTCAATTCGGAAGGGGAGGTGACAGCTGGGCGAGAAAGCTGAGTGCCAACGCTCGCGCGTTTGCCACCCATCATGTGTGCGGAAGTCCATTCGAGCGTGTTAGCAGGACCCAGCCGAGAGCTGATGAAATCGCGCGTCAGGCACCGGGCTTGTCGCCAAGGCCTGACCGGAAGCTGATGAAATCGCGCGTCAGACATCACGCGCGTTGCCGTGCGTTGCGTAGGCGGACGAGGACTGGAATGCGCGAGCAACACGATGAACTGGATAGCTGGAGCGGACAAGTATGTGTGGAGCGTGGGCGTATAGTCAAATCCGCACGGTGATACCGACATATAAATATGAGCTCTCTTTGCCCTAATAGAACTCTGGTCTGCTGAGTACTCTTCTGTCTTCCTTCCGGTCGGGTTTGCCAAGGCGTTAAACAGAGCACGCGTAAGGGCGCAGATTTAGCAGCAGGCGTGAATCAACCAGTCGAGAGCGAGCAAGGCAAGGCGTTATAACACAATCAGACTTTGCAAAAACAACGTCGTGTCCATAGCGCATCCGAGGACTGGAATCACAGGGTTTAGGTGCGTGAAAGATCACTAGGTTTCGGTGCCTCATGTCGCTGGACATTGTTCTCGCCTTCTTTGATCTTTGTGTTTCTGTTTGTCATCAACTCTTTGCTTACTACACACAGGAGATTTAGTATCATTCGAAGAAAACGCAAGCGACGAAACCGTGCTTACCGGAGTGCCAGCACTTTGCTCCGGTGTTAGAGTAGCAGGCGTACTGGATGGTTGATCCTCAGATGATGGTGCAGAAACGATCGGGCTGCGCGGTTCCACGCATTGCACACTACTGATCCGGTTGTTTGGCTTTTCGGCTACCTTTGGCGATGATGACGGCAATATGAGCGCTGTGGGTCAAAATCCTCGTGGATATCGATGGGTACCAGGTGACACGTGAATATTTATGCTGTAAAGCTGTGCTGCTAACATAAGCAGTGCTCCCTGCACATATTTTCGGGAACCGACCGCCATTATCTATTTTGACCCCGAGACGATCTTCCAGGCGCTGCTCACAATACGATATGTGACCCAATCGAGCATTCGCGCCGATGGCAATAACAACAATATTCTTCGTCATACAGATAAGGGATGAGATCTATGCCCAGAATTAGTCATTGATAGTTTCCTTGCAGCAGTCGATGGGTCTGCACCAAAAACGGTGAAGAGCATCTTGACTTCAGATGGGGGAGTTATCAAACCTAATTGAGGTCCGAAATCGAACCGCACACATGCGATTGATCACTGGTAACCAGTCGAGTAGATAACCTTCAGCATATCTGCTGCAGTATCCCCAGAGACGCGAAGAGTGTAGTCATTGTCGGTAGATTCGGAAACAAGGAGTCGAAGATTTATCATAACGTTGTTATCTTGCATGCGTATTTAGGAGACAGTAGACATCATCACCAAGAGAGTGAAGAGTGAGAGTGCTGCCTATTATCGGATCTGACCCAGAGTGCGGACACTGAAAGAACCAATGAGAAATGAAACCCATGGTTTGAAGGATGAGGTAGATGGATCGACAGCATCAGCTGCGAAGTCAAAGACAGTCTCATGCTCAACAGACGGAGAAGAGTACTTTAAATAAGAAAGACAACAGGAAGAACTCAGAACCTCCAAGAACTTATGTTTGAGTGCCGCGTGCATTATTTTATGTAGGAAATGAATGCGGATTAATGACTGAGCTCGTAGGCTTAGTTAGATAAGATACATTGTCAAAAGTGGAGAATGGTGCTGCCAAGAATGGTCAGAAGGAAAACAGAAAAGAAAATTATATCAAATCCAAGCTTAAAGCACAGAAATTGAAAGAGGAAGTCCGGTGGATGCGTCGGAATAACGCGATAGGGATTCATACGCTAGAACAGAGTGTCGGGTGAAAAAATAAATATTGCAAGATTGATGGGACGAATATCCACATAAATAATATCATTCTTAAAACTCAGGACTATGAAAACAGAGAAGTCCATAGCCTACTGTCGAATGCATATGGCTCTATGCGGAGATATCACTTCGGTTAGCGACAAAATTGGCTCGGGCTTATGTGTGCAGGTCGATAGCCTAGTGGTTAAGGTAACTGCTTTGTAATCCACAGGTCGCAGGTCATAGCTTGCGTGAGTGCAGAGGACCTTGCAGTATCCCCAGCCCGTACGCGACTTTTGCGGTCGCGTGGAAGCGGTGTCAATAGATGTATCGGGTGCTGCTGATGCCCTCTTGGGTCCGTGAGAAAACGGGGATGTAGGTTTCACATATAAATTATGGTGGAGTGAATACGAATACCAATTATGAAGTGAACGCAAAGTGAAAAGCAAAGATTAACGACTGGTAGCCCAATGGCATTACTTAATAAATCGAAGTCGCTCACGAAAATGATGCTTCCGGAGACGGTGGCCTTAGAACAATGGGTTCTCCTGTTGGATCCTTAACAAACAACCCCAAATCGAGGGAACCTCCTCGAATGACCTGGGAGAAAATGATTAATAATAAATAAATACCTGATAATCGATGACGAAGTTCGAAACCGGTGTATAGAAGAGACACTGTTTTACGGCAGGGGGAACTACAGCAGTCAAAGAAACAAAGTCGTCACCGTTCTGCACTGAAAGATGTTCAGGTTGCCCGAAATTCTTTGAAGGAAGCACAAATGCTCTGTCGAGCTGAAATTCATGAGGGATACGTTGCGATGGCTTCCCAGCTAATGTATGTTGAGGTGGTCCTTTAGAAAATGGATTTTCACGATGCAAATGTTGGTGGCCGTCGTAACTCTCCTCTCTGAAAGATTGATGGGGCATTCTTTCAGCCGGACGATTCTGGTCATCGTGATCGGATAAACTCGAATCAAAATGATGTGATGAATGTACATTGAGTTTGACACTACTTTCCTCGTGAGGAAGGTCTTCTGAACGCCTAGTAGAGGAATCTAAAGTCCCTCGATTTAACTGCAGCTTTGTGCCGTCCATCTTGCCCGTCTGATCAAGTCCCACATTCCTGCTTCCATCCTTTGACGCCATAGCAACCGCAATATTTGGGTCAATCCGTGTATGAAAAGTTTCTGCGTTTAATGATCCACTGAATAAATGCATGTTACTTTCAGGAGTATTCGGATTATCGAAGTGATGCACAGGTGGAATGCTAGAATCGGCGGACAGATGAGTTAGTTGGGGGCCGTCTTTTAAGTTTCTTAGATTATCGAAACTAGGAGGTTTACCTTGTAGTAACGCACCACCTGAAGAGCTGCCTTCATGGGGACTAGCTGCAGGTGTTTCCGGGGATATCACGAAATTGTGGCTAATATCAACAACAGGTCGTTTCGAAGTTTCCCTTGAAGTCAGGTGGTCATCGGAATGGAAAGCAGATAAACGCTGATTAGAGGGATCGAGTAAATCAGGAAAGGCAGCGCTATGCGGATCAGATACTGATGGGCGTAAGCGTGTTTCAACTTTACCGAAATCAGAGGTCGGGAGTGATGCGCCTCGCGTAGGACTGGATGCATAGCTTCGTTTATCTAAAAAATTATGACGCAAAGGTCAGAAATCACCTTCACAAATTCCGCATTTTAAAGTAATCGAGGCAAAAAATATTAACGAAAGCCAAAAGGCGTTCAGATGTGCCATCCGAATGGGTAGTTTAAAAGAGAAAAGCAAGAGTGGGGTAACAAATGACAATACAATCGTTTCACGAATGCGGCAAGCTGTAAAAAAAGAATACAGTGTAAATGAGTTTATTGTTAACCGGAGTTTATGGTGCGTAATTACATCCGAACTAAAAAGCCAACAAATGGATACTACCGCACAGAGATGATGGAGAATGACCAAGGCTTTATGTAATAGGTATTCGGTTCGATGCACAAAGTTGGTCTTAACTGATAAGCAGAGCGAACAGCTCATAGACGGCTGGATGTAAGATAGAATAAGTCCACTTTCCCAAATAAACGCCCGAAAGGAGTAGAGTCGACAGTGCCGAAGAGGAAGCAATAATGTAGAGAACAGGAAACAAAGCTAACAAACTAGGAAAATCGCATCAAACCCTTATTTTGCGGCGTATCATAAAACAAGAAACTAATACTTCTTGTGTGGCGGCAACGTGGCTATAGTTCAAAAAAGAGGACCGAAGCAGCAAGTTCCTGTATATGCTCCTTCTGGGGTGTATCGTTGTTTCGAGGCAATATTTTCAATCTAGGGGAGCTCAATAAATACGGACGAATCACACTATGCCGACTCGTGGCCTTAAGGATCGCAGGAAGGCCTTGTAATCTGAGGTCGCCGGTTCGAGCCTGGATAGGGGACGGGGCGATCCTCGTTGTATTCTTAGTCCCCGCCAGACTGGTGGTGATTGTGACGTAGCGAAGCGTCGATACTGTGTACCAGCGTACTGCTGATGCCTTTAAAGTAACTATTGCCCACTGGAAGGTCTCCAGGATTTTGCTCGGAATTGTACCAACCACAGGTTGATTCGGCGGAGCTGTACGCCACCGAGAGAGTTCATAGGTTGCGGATCAGGGAATGCCTTCCTTGCGAAGGCAACTGAAGTCCCGGATGGTCGCAGACGAGATGAACAAGCAGTCGAGGACAACCAGGGGCAACGTCCTGGATCGTAGGGAGTTCTGGGCTTCTAGTGATTTCCATGGTTTTGTTTGGCCATATGTCTACTCAAAAACTGCTGCTTATACTGTGAAGGCGTACGAACCACTCGACTGCCAATGGCCTTCGTCTTTGGCTGCGAGTTCGGTAGTCCTAAAAATCCTGGTCTCCTTGCTGTTTTATTCGGGTTCTTTGGTCACCTTGAGTAGCTTGTTTCCACTCGAAAGCCAGATTGTGTCAGCTGTACGCCGTAACGGTGCTTCGCTGCCGTGCGACCACCACCAGTCGCACGCGGGCCGAGTATACCGCGAGGACGCTCATCCCTACGCGGATACGAACCCGCGCCGCAAGATTACGAGACAAGCTCGTTACCTCTAGGCTACAGGCCGACCGAAAGCCATAGTATCCTCATCTATATAAGCGACTCCCAACGGTCCGTCAATCGTCCTACTGCTTTGTGGGTTAGGTTTATGACCCAAGACTCCGGGTGGGGTCTCCTAAGTCAACACTCTTCCTCGGCCTGCGTAACCGGGAAGCACGATGCCCGCACAACTTATCGGACCATATCACAATGGTCCTTCGCTCGCTCTTTGGAATTGCTCTCCTCGGCCGAAGTGCCGACGGCCGAACTTGTCAAACCATGTTCTACTGTACCACCGTTTAATCACTCTCTTCCACATTTGTTCAATCTCCACATTCTTGGTCTTCCTCATCCGTTTCGGAGTCCAAAACACCGCGTGGCTTTGGGCAAGCGTTCCCGCCATACGGATCAGGAGTTAAGGTCCGAGAGTGTGCCAAGTCGCGTTGGCAGGCCATTTCTAGCGCCTCGTTTCCAATTCAAGCTGTCAATCTTCAATGTTTAGACCCTAATGCAGATCGGATCACAGGCAGCAGCATCATCATCAATACAGGTTAGCCGAGGGTGGAAAACACACCTCAGTTAATGTCCCGCAATCACAGGCAGCACCTGCTCACACTCCAGTAACTACGGCCGTTGATGTCTGCCTCCTCAGTGCGACCGTCCAGGAGCGGAGCCAGCAGAGGTTGTTTGTTCATTGTCGCAGCGTAGGCTCCCACAAACTGTAGCCCGGAGTCAGTTGAGGACGAGTTCTGGTTAACTGACCCACGTTCTCCGGAAAAAAACGTCATGACGACAACGTGGTGCTTGCCGGGGACTTAAATGCGCAGGTCGGCAGATGAGATTGATCAGCGTGAATCCGGTGGTCAACATGGCCATGGTATCCGTAGAACAGACAACGGTGATCGCCTACTGTAGCTTTACGCCGATCACGGCCTCTATCTATAGAGCACTAGCCCTAAGCGATGTTATTAAACCAACGCGCCACCAGGAGACCCACAACACCTGGCTAGTTGTGGACATAAATCGATTACACCAGATAACAAGTCAAGTTGGAATACTTAACTCATTTCAAGTCACGCACTCGTGTATGCCAAGGTAGCGCTACGTTTCGGTGCCTCCCAGAACCGTCGCCGGAAACGGCTTGACGTGGCTAGGCTTTCTGTCCCGAACGTTCTCTGCGCCTTCCAGCATGCGTTGGCCACGAGACTGACCCATGCATAAACTTTAGAACGCAATGAACACATCCGCAGCACCAAGTACAACCCTGCAAGCCTGGTCTTGGGTTGCATCAGTAATCCTGTCAGCCACTGGTTCTCTGCGCGATCTTGCCAACTTCTCGAAGCTCATTGAGCAATTCCTGTTGCCGTTAAATACCATGCACGGCGCAGGACTACCAAAGCAGCCCAAACAGCTCACACAGAAAGATCGCGAGGGCTGGTGAACGCAACGGGTCATTGAAAAGAGCAAGCGGCTACCATGGGGAATTTCCGTAAGCTTTTTCTGATCCGAATCACTGGTGGCAAAAGGTCAACCGTAAACAAAGTTTTATGCCAAGTCAGTGGTGAGCCAATTCACTAGCAAAAACCGCGAATTGTGCGTTGGGCCGAGCATTTTGAGCATCAGTTTAATTGGCCAGCATCACTGATGAGTTCCCGTTCATGAATCCAGAGTGATTCCTATTGTTTAGACGCTTCACCACCATCTGAGGCCGAGGTTGTCATTGAGCGCTACAAAGCCCATGGTCGAGATTAACTCCCTCCGGCTCATTTCAAAGATGGAGGCCCATCACTTGTTTGAGAGTTAACTTCTCTTCCGAGAGACTTGGGTCATAGAAGTTATCTCAACTGATTGGAGCATAACGGATATCGTGCGCGTATTCATAAAAAGCACTCAAGTTGACTGCGTCAACCACAGAGGGCTTAGTCTCATCTGTGTTGCCTCCAAGGTACTAGCCACTTTGCTTTTAAGGAGTCTCAGCTTGGTATGCGAACAGAGCATATGCGAAGAGCAAGCTGAGTTTCTCCAAGGTCGGAGTTGCATTGGTCACATCTTTAAACCGTAAAGTACTCGAGCGTCGTCAAACATTCGGCCGACCGACGATCGTTGTATTCTTAGATATAAGAGCACCGTTTGAGACAGATGACCGAGCTGTTCTCCGGAGTTCCCCACTGAGAATGGGAGTGTCGGAGAATTATGTGATTATACTTCAAGGTATCTAATCTCAAACCTCGGGCGAAGTGCGAGTGCATAGTGTACTTTCCTCCCCTTTAGTATTACCATTGGCGTGAGACAAGTCAGCAAGTATCCAAAATGATCTTCAATTCTGTTGGAGATGATGTCCTGGAGAGTGCTCTGGACAACCGTAAGCCCAGTGACGTCAATATGTTCCCGGGAAACCGACTTCGGAATATGAAACATGCAGACGACGCCGTGATTTGCGACTCCTCACAGGCCGCCCAAAATGTGCTGCTGTTGGAGATGTCTGTCTCCCAGTTTGGAATGACCTTTACCATTTCGAAGTGCAAGGCTTTCCAGCAGGATTAGCCAGACGCTGCTTCTATCTTTACTCTTTCAGGTCATCCGTTGGAAGTGGACAGCTTCGTTTAAGTCGGAAGCTGCCTCTAGGCCAATGGTTTAACGGATGAGGTATCTTTGCGCGTCTCCAAGGCTCGAGCCGCTTTTGTCAATCTCCGCCACCTCTGACGTCGAGGCTAACTAAATCTCTCTCACTGAAGAACCGAATTAAAAATATCACGATGAGAGCCAACCCGCTCTACGGCTGCAAGACTTCGCATGTTCGCGCAGAGAATGTTAAGAGAATGTTTGTTTTCAGTCACCGCTGCTTTCAGAACATTGCTGGTGCACGACGGAAACATCACACTAGTAATGAGTAAGTTCGACGAAGGATTTTCGGATCGGACAGACATTGCCAGCCGCTAAGCAATATAATCTCACTGTGCAAACTTCAGTGGCTTAGGCACGTGCTTCGCATGCCTACTCATCGATTACCTCATCGTTACCAATTCGCGCGTGAAAACGTCGGCTGGAAACGAAAGTAAGGTGGCCAAGGTATGACTTCGGCCAGAATTATGAAGGAGCTAACTTCAAAGTTAGCCGTCGTCGGGCACTCCCGGATCCATAGCTGTAGGCGCAAGGATCACGAATAAATATGGCTGGAAACGTTCTCGGATAGGGCAGAAAACTGTGCACAAGGAGGAACACATTGCGACACTCTATTCCCAAGAACACTTCTACATTCTTGTTCACTTTTCCATTGTTTATTGTATTTCTCATACGCTGTGG